AAGAGGTCTATTGTTCTATGACGAAACCATTTTTACAAATATAACAATATATTTATATATTGTTATAGAAGAACTCTCTTCTCTGTTGCACGTAGAAACAAGAGAAAATAGAAAGAAATAAGAGAAAAAGTTCAACGGTGTAAAAATAAATATTTCTTTAGGGAAAATTTTTCGCACGAATATACCAAACCATTTGTAAAATGTAGTTACATATATATATATTTTCTTTGGAAAGAAATTGTATCAATAAGAAAATCTTTAATCTTTTTCTTCACAAAATAAAATTGGATGATTCGAACCATCCTTTTTATTAGAAATTACATTTTAACAAATTTTTCTACGATTTTAAATGAAAAATTATTCCTTCACGTAGAACTTACAAAGAAAATTACGCAAAAATAGATATATCTGCAACACTTTCCTCATCTTTCGACAACAAGTTTCACAAACTAAACTCAAATCACGTCTTCCGTGCGAGATTATTCCACTTTAAATTAAGCTTTGCATGAAAAATTATTTCATTTAAAAAAAAATCAAAATCGATCTCAATTGCAATTCCAATACCTTTGTAAAAATTTTTTCCCAACAACTTTCTCCTCTCTCGCGGTTTCTACATATTTCACCTGTACAATTCTCGAATAAAAATCGTGCAGACGTACAACTCTTCTCATCCCATTTAACAGGAAAGGATAAGACACGTCCCAGTTACCAGATCCCTACGTGTATCGCAAAAAGCAGTCGTCGAATATTTCATGGAGGATAAGAAACAAGTTCTTGACGAGGCTTCTCCGGTTAATCTGTCGATCGAACAGGCATGCACGGCTGTCCGTACCACGTCAAAGTTAACGATCTTACTGTAATACTGGATCTGGCGCAGCCTAAGCCCCTCGCATTAAACTTTAAGCCGAGCTTTCCACGGCGACACCCCTATCGATGGAAAATACGTCTCTTGTCGACTACCCCCCTCCCTTCGAATTTAGAAATCGACTCTCGAGGAAACGCGATTCCCGCGAGAAGGGGTGGTTTTTCTCGAGCGTTGCCTCACTTTTACTCCATTTTTCGTCGTTCCTTTCACGAGAATCGAAATGAAACAACGGTTAATCAATGATGGGGTTTTTTTTTTTTAATGTGATGAGAATTAAAGTTGATGAGGTTTAGAGTTTTTATTATAATTTGGGAATTAAAGGTGTAGAGATTTTTTTATCTTTGTAATAAAAATGGAAATGGGGGAGAAGTTGATTATATTTTTGAAAAATTAAAAAAAAGGTTAATTAATAATAATAAATATCAATGAGAAAAAGTTGTAAGGTTTTGATGCACAGAAGATGTAGATAGTAACAAAGTTTTTTAATCAATTACATTTTACATTTAAATGCCTGTTGTTTGGACAAGTAGTCCATAGATCACTCATTCTACGCGAGAAGTCAGGCGTGGCAGCAAGACAAGTAGAATAATCGAGTTACGGTCGAACAAATAGATTGAAACAGTCATGCTCAGTCTAGTCTAGAACAACGCATTCGTGAATAGAATAAGGATGCTGTGGTCAAACAAGTAGACAGTTATAGGCAGACAGTAGCAATGTAAACCACTCGCAGTGATACGACTAACTAACTTGAGCCAATCGTAATAAGGCAAGAATAGAATATCTTCAGTCAGATAAATAGAAGCAATCGTAGAGTGGAATTATTCGTACACAAACGAATAGAATGGATACAGTTATAAGTAGTCGATAAATTAAATAAATCCGAAAAATTGTCTTTTCTGACTAAAGAAATTTTTCTCTCGATTGCACGAATAAGCGCATAATAAGGATTAAGAATCGATGTCGAAACGTATTTAAATAACACCAGTGTTACTCTCTGTGATATAACGATACGGTGTCGATAAATTAACCTCGTTACCGTGAATAAAGGGCGAGCAGTGGTTGCACGAAACAGAGAGGATTGTGGGACGACCATGACGAGCTTTCGTCGACAATGAAGCTTCCTGAAAGGAAGTAGCGGGTTACGTGTCGCCAGCAAAAAGGTGGAGCGTAATATTGGCGAACCTGTGAAATCGTGCGTGGAAACGGACGCAAAATAGCGCGGTGCGACCGTGAGGATGAAATAAAGGGAGGAAGGTAAACTACACGCCCCGCGTTGTTACGTATAATGCCTGACCATTTATCGTCTCGTACCACTTCGAGCCGAGCCGACTCGACCGAAACTTTTCAATTGAATCACGAAACTGGAACTGGATATATGTTCAGATATTATGACAGATATGATTTTTTTCTTTTTTTTGACGAAGCTTTGGCTTGCTTTTAGTTATATTGTGTGTGCACGAATGGGGAAGGAGTTTGTTTTCGAATTGTAAAATATAGAATAACGAAAGGAAAAATTTATAGTAAATAATAATATATAGGTTAATAATCGATATTTGTTGGGAATAATTTGTTGAAATCATTTTTTTTTATCATCCTATAATTAATAATCTTAATCTAGCGATTAAAATTAAAATATTTTGAGACTGAAAAATGAACGTATATTTCGTGAAAAAAGAAATAATGTCATAAAATTTCTACAAAATGTGCACTTTGGAGAAAATTTTTTAATTTTAATCGCGAAGTAAGCTGTTTAAATAAAAGCAATCGGGGTATAAGTAATCGATATTAACGAAGCGACGTTGATAGCACACTTTCAGGCGATAGGAAAGAAACTCTCGAGAAGATTTTTAAATCGATGAACTTTGAGCTCGAGATTCAACCGACCTGAAATTTCATGTTAAATGATATAGAACGTAGGCTTACCGTCTTTTAAACACGAACCCTCCATGAAAGTGAAATTAGTTCCAAGTTTTGCCAAAGTGCCCCTAACTTAGTTTTAAGAGGATTGTTCCGCTTTATCGAAACACGTATGCAAATTCTATTGAGGAATGGACAGAAATTAATGGGATTAGATAATATTGTCAAAATTAGAGTCAAAATGTTTGATACTTTATTCATAAGTAATATTATTTCAACGAAGAATTGTGAAATAATTTTAAATATTGTATTTGTATTAATAATAATTTATTCAAATTTCGATATACAAGAGTTTTTATTTTTTTAGTTACTTGCTTTTTATGCACGCAACTGAAAACATTTTCGATCAAAATTTACTTGTATTTGAACACAAACAGAGATAATTAAAAATTTTAAAACTGCTTGTTTTGAAAAATTAAAATTTATTTATTAAATTGTATATTTTTACGATATATTTTTTATTCGACGTTATCACTTCTTCCGAATTTTTTGGAAAAAAATTCTATCAATTTAAAAAATTAAACACAAACTCATTATCATTATTTTAAGCATTTTATTCTCAATAAATAAAAATTTAAATACTGAATTGGTATCAAGAATTAAAGTTATCATTATTTCAACTGATTTTTATCCAATCTAAAAGAAGCTTTTTCATTATCAAACAAACATTATCACTTTTTTTCAATGTTATTACCTTAATTCCTTCTTTTTCATCAGAAAGAAGAATTCTATTCGTTACTGAATGAAAAATCCGATAAATTACTTCAAGGATTAAATCCACATCTAATATCATCACCTTAATTATCTTTTATCAAACCCAAAAAGAAACATCTTCATTATCAAAGTATTACTAATATTTTCACTAATATCAAATCTTAAAAATAAAAAAGATCCTAATATTATCATTTAATCATTTTATATAAAATTTAAAATACCAAATCAAATAAACTTTATCACATTACTAATTAACAATTTCTCTTTGGAATCCTCCAGAGAAGAACTCTACTTGCATAATTAAACCATAAAATTCTTTCCAATTCTTTTTCTCAAATAATTTCCTATATATTCCCTTCCCTATGCTTTTATAAAGATATACACCAACAAATATATATATATCTCATTTAATCACTTAACAACTAACCAAAATATTATTACGTCGCATCTAAACCATTACTACCCCTGGTCGAATCCACACTCATCGAACAAAACCTCCTAAACCCTTCTAAATACAAAAAACAAACACTGGAAATCTCGAGCACCTAAGTCATTCTCAAAGATCCAGCTCCAAATTCAATATAAACACCCACCCCTCCTTCGCAAGAAACCGTATCCCCGTTATTACTCTCGAGCAACGACATCATCGTCCCAACAACCCAAGGAAAAACCTGCATCCACCCTCTCCCTCTCTCTCTTCCTCCTTCTTCTCCTCCACGTTCACTTAAACACAACGACCACACAACACAACCATACCCTAAAAACTCGGGCTCGTACCTCTTCCAGGGCTTTGCCGAGACGTTTGCTCGTGAAAAGCAACCGGGACAAACCTGTGCGGTGGCTGGCGATGACGCTTCCCCGCGGGAAGCACTCGGAAATGCGGGAAAAGGTGGAAAAGGCGATGCGTGTGCACGTCGGTGGCGAGAGGAAGGAGGAGGAGGAGGAGTGGTAGGAACGAGGAGACGGAACGAGGCGGGGTTGCAACGACTTTTAGGGGAAATGAAGGGAGGGGTGGGGGAGGAAAAAGGATTGCGAGCGTTGGTCCGGCTTTGTCCTTGATCGCGGGGCGGCCCCCATTGAAAATTCACGGTGAAAATTTCGTGCCACCCTTCCCCTCTCTCCAAAGACCTTTGTACACCGGGCCTGCTTTGAAATTAATGGCTGCCTGACGCTTTATTCGATTACATCGCGCGGTAATTGAATAAGTGTTTCGTGCGATAAACACGAACGGCGCGTGTTTTATATATATATATATATATTTTTTTTTTT